TAAGAGGGCAAAAGATTACTCTCTTTTAAATAAGAAAAACATGTATAACGCAATTTTGAGTCTATCTTATATCAGACTAAGGTATGCCAACTTGACCAATTAAACAAATCTTGCCTAGGACAGAAGACGAATTTTAATTGTTTTCTTGATTTAATCTGATGGAAACATTCAGCTCGACTCATTTTATAAACAAATCTCAACAACCATTTTAATGACATATAAGCTTTTGAGTATAACCCACAGAATTACAAATTGTTGTCGGTTGATATATTGTATATTTGGTTTATATTATAATATAAACCACTAGTTTAAAGATAAAAAATATTTTCTAACTCATGACATATAATAGTCGTCATTTTTATGTAAAATCTTTTGCTGAGTCTGAAAATCAAGTCCAAAATACAAAAAGTAAATTATTTTTTGAGATATTGCAAAATTAGCTTTTCATTGTTAGCATTAAATGTCTTGTCATTTGAAATGTAAAGGATAAATTTATTTTGTTAATAGTAATGTTTTATTTTTAATTAAAATATACATTTTCTATGATACTTAAATAATTATTATTTTTAATTTTTATACGGTTATTCTTAATAAAAATAAAACGAATAAACGTCAATATGAGTGTAAGAATAATCCAAATAAATTTAATATATGAGTGTAGCGAAAATGTTTTTGTTACACCGTCAAATTTTACTATACATTGCAAACTGCGTATCGTTTTTAATAGAATATTTCTCCAGAGTGAATCGTGGATAGAACTGTATTAACAATGTAGATAACAAGCGCGAAGTAAAAAAATTGGTAGCACAGTGNACATTGCAAACTGCGTATCGTTTTTAATTGAATATTTCTCCAGAGTGAATCGTGGATAGAACTGTATTAACAATGTAGATAACAAGCGCGAAGTAAAAAAATGGAATTGATTAAAATCACTATCTTTATTATTAATAAATAATTAGTAATCTCAAAAAAAGGGGCGATGGAAAAAATCTAAATGCATATTTGAAATCAGCATAATACCGTGATATAGCAAAATATATATTAGTCAATGCTGATTAAACAATGGTTCATTCTAAAAATATGATTTTACTGTGTAATTTAGTAAAAAAAAAATGTTATACTCATATTATTTGTGAAAATCTTTATTTTAAAAAAAAAATTTGTTGAATTTGTCATTTTTACAGTATGTATTTATCCAAATTTCTAATATTAAGGGATTTTTTCCAATATTTGATAGCTATTAATTCAGCTAGATTAAAATCGATTTTAAACTTGAAAGCAGAACTAAAATTAAGGTTAAGAATAAAACAATTTTTCCCAATAGCAGATTTATTGTAATTTAGTGCTTAAAATTTGTAAAATGTAGAAAAAAATATTGCAAAATAACCCACAATATTACATTTGAACAAAATTTTGATTTTGTAAATACTTAATTTGTTTCATATAGTTTTATTGGAATATTTTTAAAGTTAATGAGTTTTACAGTTTGCTTATTGCTTTTCAAAAAATAAAAATACAATTATAATTTATGACATTACATTTTTATAATTCATTTTATGATTACTAAAGAATCAATTTTATTTAACTGAAAATGGGACGCTTTGGTCTTAATATTTCTTTTATGGGTTTCATTTTTTCTCTTATTAGAAACCAACAATAGTCACCATTTATTGCCTTATCACAAAACTATTAGTAACGACGTTCCATATCATTTATTTTTTGGTGAAAATAAGAAGTGCACGAAGAAAATGTATTTAAAAATAAAAATGACATGTTAACCTCTAGTTCCAATAAAATTAAAAAATAGCCTATATTTTTATACAGAAAATAATAAAGTTATAAAAAGTACTGTTAACCTATTTTTGTATAGTTTATCAATAAATTGTCCACTATAAAATTCTTTATTATAAATTAAATTAAAGATAAATTAAATATTTTAATTATAAATGAATTAAATTATTATAAATTCTATAAATAAATAAAGTTCTATATTTAAATAATATTATTTTGGTTCGTATATAAATATTTTTATTCCATAAATATACAACAAGTTCCTTGTTTGTATAAAATTAAATTTTTAATTAATTATACTTAAAAATAATCTTTCTGAAAACTTGATTAAGTTACTAGGACATTCATTGGTTTTATGTGCTTGTTACTGAATATTAAATTAACATTATATTATATTGTCTGCTCATAAGTTTACAGCTTAACTAATTTAACATTTTATATTGAGAAGTGTAAGTAAGACGCGGGTAATTGTATTTTTTTACTGGTCATTTCTCGGTCGCTATCTTACTCTTATCGATGGTCTGACCAATGATTTTGCCATGGCAGAGACGAAAAACCTTGATTTTAAATATCAACATGGGAGCTGTGCTCCATACCCCAGAGTTTTTTTTATTTGAATTATTAAGTACTTTACAGTTTTATTTTTTTCCTCTAGATGACATTAACTTTTAAAGTCAAAACACGTACATAAATTATATGAAAATATAATAGTTCTTTTTTCTTAACTGAATAAATAAAATAAATATAGTTAAAAACAACTAAAAAAACACGCTTTTAAAGCACATCGAAGTAAAAAGATAAAAATAATATATAAAATAAGCTTAAAATAATTATGAACAAAAAATACTAGTATTGTAACGTGACAAAAAGTATATGTTTATTTATTTTGTCTATTTGTATATATAGATATTATTTGTGATTTTTTTGTGCTCGTGCGAGATAGTCAGCTGTGTACTACTTCGGACCGGTTCATGGACGGCATTTGTGTGTACATTCACCCCGCTCCTTTCCTATCTTGAACGTCATTTGCACTGCACACCACCAACATTGTCGCCTTATGATATGTGATAATTCAACTTTTTCTTAGTAATTTCCGGCACTGAGTATTAAAATTTGTTGACCCCCCTCTAAAGGCTAGCCGTGTTGTCGACAACAGACCGCCGGGTCAAACAACGGAAGTTTTGTCGGGGAATAGCCATAGTCGGAACTGGTCCCACTATTTCCCGTCCTTGGCGTAAGTTTTTTTGTTATTGTGTGCGCTGCAACATTTTAACATTATATATATTTTTTGTCGCTATTGGTTATATAATGTGTTTTTTTTTTATTGGCGTCGGTTGAGCCTGCCTCATATTCTTAGCAATTCGGGGCTGGTAATCTATAGTTAGTATTTAATGTTTTGAGCCAGAGTTTTTTTTTTTATTAGTGCGCCGTGCCATAAGCACGTGTGGCGAGATTTTTATATTAAAATTTTTTTTAGGTGCCCTTATTTTTTATTTAGGTCCCGCAACATGGCAGGCGTATGACAAGATCACCAGTCGTGTTATATCTATATATTTTTGTGTTTTTTTTATAGGTTTTATATTATATTTTATGGGTGATATGTATATATTATTGGTACAATTTGGTGACGTAGTGCATTTAATTCCGAGGTGTCCCAACGTCTTGCAAGCTAAGTCTAACTGCCTAAAACCAGTCGCTTACTTGGGGCGTATACCCGCCGTGCTTAGTGGCAATGCCGCGATTAATAGCCGGTGAGTACCCAAAGACGTTCATCGTATTCTCTAATATAAAAGTGTAGGTGTAATCAGTATTTTTTTTTCTCTCTGTTCCCCTTTAATTTGTAGACGAGGATTTTTGGCCGTTCGGTTTTTTGCCTCGTGTTAAATTAATTTTTTTTTGTTTTTTTTTTACTTAATAAATTCCCCTTAATTTAACTTTACCATCATATTTTTCTTTTTTTTGAGTGTTCCATCATCAATGGACTCGTGTATTTTTTTTTCCTTTCAAAAATCAACACCCCTAGTTTATAAGGTACGGACAACGGCCTTGTATAAGGTCATCCCTGATCCATATGGTTATGTGACAATTGTCACGAGGTTTTGGTGTACATCTACTATCAACGACTCAACGGACATGAACTTTAATATTTATTAATTTTATATTTTTTTTTAATTGTTTTAATATACAAAATTTAATTTCTCTTTAAAATCCTACTGTGGTCCGACAATACATTGTCTCGCCTAGTGGGTTAGCGACCCTTTTCTTGTTAATTTTTTCAATGCGCCATGAAAGTTACAAATTTTTCGTTGCGGCCAATTAATTCGATTTTTTTTATATTTGTAACCTTTCAGTATTATTGTGATAAAAGCGTCGGGCGCTTAATATACGAATAATATAGCACAAAGCACCCACGCTTTTATCATAATAATACTAGTACTTTTCGTTCATTATTTTTTTAAGTTTATTTTATAAATTAAATAGTAAATTTAATAATTCGATAATGTTTGTACAGAGTTATTTGGCATAGTTATATCTTTGATACGTGTCTATTTCAGGAGTAAAGTTGTGTTTATCTATTTATTTATTTAAAATAAAACCATCTATATGGTTTAAAAAAGAAAGACATGATTTTATAACACAAAACAGGATCAAAATGAAATGACAGTGATTTGAATCGCTGTCAGCTTAGCATCGATACTATCATTTTTTTGGAAATCTATATTAGAAAATATATTCTAATTTTAAATTAATTATGATAATTAGAAATGTGAAACTATTTATCCTAATAATTTTTCTCAGCCTGTATAATTATAAAATACATATTTAGAATATTGTTAAATAATATTAACAACAATTTTTTTGTACTAGAATAATTTTTAAAAGGCACAATTATTATAAATAAAATAAAAAAATAAAATTATTTAACATTTGTACAATTTTACGTATTAACAAATAAATTAATATGCTTGCCATTGTTAAGTTATAAATAAAAAAGTTAATACTTAAATTGTTTTTCGATATTGTAAAATATATTTTTTAAAGAGGTTATTTAAAACAATTGCAATATTTACTTGAAAACATTCTTAATACATAAATTATTTGAAATCTAAATTTACGTTTCTTAACAAAATTTAATGTAAATTATTGAATAAATACATATACCTATGCGTCAATTTCATAAATTGTATTTTTAATTATTTGCACGCATTTCAAGATCTGTAGAGCAAGTTGTCAACCTATAAATACTCATGTTACAGTAATTTTTGTAATTCAAAAATATTTAGTTAGTATATAATTTATTTCAAAAGTGTTTAATTTTAGTCGATAAAGTATTTTGAAATTTAAGAATTATAGAAAATTCTCTTAAACTAATAATATGTTACTCAATAAAGTGAAATTAATACTTTTTTTTATTCACACAATTAATCAGTCAAATTGTGTTGATCTAAATGATATCACATGTGAGGATATACAAGATCTTAAAATGCAATACCCAGATATTATGCATGTTACATTAAAAGATCATCCTAATTATATATTTTCATACAATGGGCTAAAGTATTGTCCAGTACATTTCAGTCACCTAGTTGATTATGAAGTAGTTCCTTGTGAAGGTATAGAAATAATAGATAGAAGATTGAAGTATGTGATTAATAATTGTATTGACTATGAAAGATATACTTTGGGCTATGCGATCATTGTGAATGCTATTGAAAGTTTGTGCTTTACATATATGTATCAGTTCTGCGAGTTTGCAATAGAAATGAATAAATTAGGTGCTGATATATCATTTTACTTAGATCAATTTAGTGAAAATCTTAAATCTAAAATTGTACCAATATTTAATAAAGAATGGATTTCTCCTGAACCATATGAATGTATTTTAAATGTTTACAAAGAACACGAACATAAATATAAGAATTACGAATTCAATAATGTAGACGAAAAGTACATGAGTGATCTACTAATCTGCAAGAATTTAATGAAAGATAAAGTACACTTTTTAACAGAACCTCCTGAAAAATCAATGAATAATATTCCTAAAAAAGAATTAATAAAAATACAAAGTTTTAATAATGATGTTATTAAGGGTGTGTTGACTTTATCGTCGAATTTTTGTATTCTCAAAGATATAACTGGATATAAAAGTAAGAAGGAAGTCTTATTTATAACGTTTTATAACATAACATTATTTTTTATGAAAAAAACACTTTATTTTAATAAATTATGAATTATTTTCCTGTAAAAATTTGTTAGTCAATTTCAAGATAATAGAATTAATGACTAATTTATTAAATATATATTAAGAAAAATTTATATTATACTATAAGATATTCGGTTACTAATTATACATGTTTAAGAAACTAATTTTCGGTGTTGTTCGCTATAGTTTTCAATGAGTTTTAAAAGCGTAAAAATATACTTAAAATGCTTTTGGACTGAAAACCAAAATTTAAAATTAGTAGAAAATCATATCGATAATAGTATTTGATTATCTTCTTTTGTTGCTGCAGATCAAACCTTGTGCACTGGATGTACGACGATGAGGTATAGTGGTACGGTCAGTGTAATTCACATTTTTTTATGTGGACATGGGTGGAGTTGTGGATATTGTAATGTACTTAATAAACAGTGTCCTGTATGTCATCAACCGATTACAGGTACTCAAGTTATTCATATAGAAACACCTGCATCAATAGTTGAAAATGGTATATAAATTATAATTATTTACTGAAACATATTACTAGCTTCTCTTTATATTGTCTTACGTATTGTCTTACGTATTGATTTATATTATTTATATTATTATTTAAATGTTAAGTAACTGTAGTAATTAAATAATTCAGTAGAAATTATTGATACTATGTACTAGTAGTATATTATATTACAAATTAATAGCATTTAAAGGAAAGTAATAAACTTTACTGAATGAACCATCTAATAACGACTAATAAAAAATATAAATATATTTTTGTTTTTTAGCTTGAAAGGTCTAAATATCTTTTTTTTTTTTGCTTATCATATACTCTTACTAGCATTAAAATCATGTTTTGTCAATTTTGATGGAAGAAAGCCACTTTATCTCCACTTTGGTTACGCCAGTGATTTAATATATCCACCAAAAATTACATAATTATCTATTAAAAAATTAATTAAAAAAAGATATGAGGATTTTTTGAAAATTCAACTTGAATTATATTGTTACAGTAGAAGCATCAAGCGTAGTAGAAATAATATCGAGTATCATAAAAAAAAACTAAGTTATATCAATAACTACTCAACTTTTTTACATTTCTTCTTAATAAAGATAAAAACGAAATCGAATAAACGTCAATATAATTGTAAGAATATTCCAAATAAATTTTATTTTCGAGTGTAGCGAATATGTTTTTGTTACACCGTCGAATTTTACTATACATTGCAAACTGCGTATTGTTTTTAATTAAATATTTCGCCAGAGAACTTAAGTAAATCTTGGACGCCAAATGTCTTATGTAACACGTGCAGAAATATATTAACAATGTAGATAACATGCACAAAGTAAAAAAATTGTTAGCACAGTGGGATCGTGGCATAGTTGGGTCCAGTATAGATGATATCTGACAGTGATTAAAATCACTATCATAAAAAACGCTTCGATGCAAATCTGTAGATAGTGTTTAATTAAAAAAAAAAATTTGTTAAAATAGCATATTTTTGAATATGGTAGCCATTTGTGCATAGAAGATACGTCGTCGGGATAAATTTTTTTTTTCATTTTATAGTACCATAAAATAAGCTTTAATTTGATATATGTTTAAGGACGCAGTATTTCCGGAACATTTTCAAAAATTAAGTTGAAAAAGTTATTTTAAATCCCCCCTAATGAGCAGGTTTAGTGATAGATTTTCAAAAAAATGATATAAAATGAAAAGTAAATATTTAAGGATTTAGTATAAAAAAAAATTATGTTGATTTGTTNTAAGGTTTTAGTATAAAAAAAAATTATGTTGATTTGTTGATTTTTCAAAAAGTTATAGAAGTTTTAAGAAAAAAAAGTGAAAAAATTTTGAAAATTAGCGATTTTTAAATTTGTTATTTTTTTGGATATTTCCCCCATTTGCGGGGAACCAGGGAATTTTTTTTAATTTTTAAGGGTAATTTCTTCAACTAGATACGATTTGTGATCTTTTGACGTATTTNCAATTTTTAAGGGTAATGTCTTCAACTAGATACGATTTGTGATCTTTTGACGTATTTTTGAAAGAAATCGGTCTAGTGAGAGCTGAGAAAAAGTGGCAACAGACATAAAAAATAAAAACACATCATAGTAAAATTAATACCTTCTCCGCTTCGCATCGAAGCTAAAAAAAAAAATACAATTATAATTTTTGCTATTACATTTTAAGTACATCTTATATTTGACATACTTTATAATAAAATTGAACAATTTTCCCTTATATAGAGAGCGTTCAAAACTTGAAACATTGTATAAAAAATAGAACTTATTCAACTGAACTTTTGAAAATGTTCCGGAAATACTGCGTCCTTTAAACATATACCAAATTAAAGCTTATGTCATTTGATATCATTTTTTTTTTTGAAAATCTAATAGTTATTCTGCTCACAGGGGGGATTTAAAATAGCAACTTTTTTAACTTGACTTTTAAAAATGTTCCGAAAATACTACGTTCTTTAAACATATGTCAAATTAAAGCTTATGTCATGTACTATAAAATTAAAAAAAAAAATTTGTCCTGACGACCTATCTTCTATATGCAAATGGATACCGTATTCAAAAATATGCAATTTTTGTTTTAAAATCCTGGGTTTTGTATTTTATTTTATTTTAAAATATCTTATAAGGGCAATACACTGACATTCATGAATATTTTATAATTTAATTGACAAAAAATAAAGTTCATAAGACATAAGAAATTAAGCTTTTTTTATTTTATTAAAGTTGAAAAAGTAATTTTTAAATTTGAGTTAGCTTAAATGGCTAATTTTACATGCTACGAAAGAAACGAACAGTTGCCGAGTCAGTAACAATTAGTTCTTTCATGCCTACGGTACAAGGTTTAAATCCAACTGTGACTATTAATATTTTGCATTTTTTTTTTGAGTTAGAATAAAATTTTCAAATCATTTGATATTTATCTCATTTAGATTCAATAACTTCAATGAATATAAAGGATCCTATCACTATAGTTTCCACTCGTGAGAAAAAATTTGTATTCATGTTAATATTATTTTACTATGTAGTTCTTTTTGTGGCTACGATTTATTTTGCCAACCCTCACTAGACCTACTATTTCAACGATACGTCAAATGATTACAATTCGTATTTAGTTGAAGATATTACCCTTAAAAATTGAAAAAATATTCCTTATTCAAATAAAAAGTAGTTAACCAGCTGTTTCCATGCAAACAATTAAAATCATTAATTTCTAATATTCTTAAAGTATTCATTGTCGAATTAGATTTGATATGATAACCCCATATTATTCTTAACAATACCATTTTTACTATTTAATGATGTCAATTTTAAACATGCAAATTGAGCTAAAATTTATGGTAATAAATTCATTTTATTTTTTATTATAAAATTTCATTTTAAAGGACAAATATAAGTAGGTTCAAAATGTTTACTTTTAACATATTAAAAATCAAAATCAATAATAATTTGAAAACAATTAATTTTAAAAATTATATAATATATAATTAAAAGAATTACTAATCTGGGTATAATTAAGGAAATAGAAGTTGATGTTGCTTTTGTAATTATTTATCAATTTTTTTAGAATTAAACACTATCTACAGATTTGCATCGAAGCGGTTCTGATGATAGTGATTTTAATCACTGTCAGATTAAATCTACACTGGACCCAACTATGCAACGTCTCCACTATGCCTCGACCCCACTGTGCTGGGTTTTTTTATTTGTGACCCTATGAAAATACCTTCTTATATTTTTGCATCAGGCAAGTATGGAAACACAGTATTCAAAGAAGTAAATACATTTCCATTTTTATATAGACCCTATACAAAAATTTAAAAAGCCCAAATTTAATATGCAAAATTGATAGGATTATTTTATCTTTTATCAGTTAGTTTAATAGTTTATTAATTACCCGTTGAAGATTCCTAAAAAAGAATATAAATGTAGAACTAGTTTTAACAGGTTACTAACATGTGCATATTCAAGTATTTTATGATGTCCATGTTGCTTTATTTTAGTCAAGCAGAAATAGAAATCAACTTCGTTACACATTGACTATCGCCAAATTATTGACATATCAAATGATAAGTATCTTCTAAAGCGAATGAACATTTTTAAGATTTTAGTGGTTTTGTACATAAATAATCTAAGAAAAAATTCAATAATTTAAAAAAAAATTAAAAAATTAATTTTTTACTTTAAATAATAAATAACTGTCATGTGTTAAAGGTCATTTTTGTTCTAAACTAGTGTTATTTATATATAAGCCGAGTAACTAAGGACTTTAAATAAAAGTCAAGTAATGCAAAATATATATATTTATTAAATTAATACTGCCTTAGTAAGTGCAGTTTGTTTTTTCCATAGTACTCAACATCCTTGAGTAAAAAGTAACGTAATTGCTCACTCCCGTAAACTTTTGTGTTAGAAAAAATACTAATTATCCATATTTGCAATTAGGTTTGGTGATCTTACAGCCAAGATGTGTCTTAGATGGTCGAGAAGCACGTTGTATAAGCTGCCACAGTCAAATTAAAGTTGTGAATCCTCCAAACAAATATATAATGAGACCAT